ATCTGCTAAGGGTGGGGACCAGCTCTGACCTCTAACCTGGCCCCCAGGGAGAGGCCCTAGGGGACTTCCATCTGAATCCCTGACTGACCCTGAGATGTGGCTGAGTCGCTGTGGAGATGTAACTCTCAACTAAGAGATGTGGGGAGAGGAGAAGCAGCGAGGGAGAAGCTGGAGCAGGGGTCAAGGACAAGCTGACCCTTTCTTTCTGCTAAGTTGAAAGCCCAGCTGCCTGTTTAACCAGTTCATTGCCACAGTAGCATCTAGGAAAAAGGAAAGAGGGCTGAGAGGCCTTTAACTGAGTAACCCAGCTTAGGGAGCCTTGCTGGGGATGGAGTAGAAGAGCCAGGTCCCATAGGATAGTGTGTCCAGGAAAGGATGGTAAACCCAGCCAGAGGTTCCCAGACAAACCTCGTGGCAGTAGCTTAGAATGCTGGAGCAAGGGTTAGCCAAATCCAGCCGGCAGCCTGTTTGTATGTGGGCCTATGAGCTGAGAGAATGGCTTCACGCTTTTGAAGAGTTGGAAGGCAACCACAACAGAAGCCACGTGTTGCCCAAGAATCCTACCTGATAGGTGCTGTCTACCTTTTACCAGTCTGTGCTTTAAATTACTTGGACTTTCCTTAGACAAGGAACTCCGCCCTTGTAGAGTCGGCAGTCCTCATGCTAAAAGCCTGGAGAGGTGGGACTTATGCCTGCTGGGGTCCTAGAGACAATCTGTGCCCCTGATCTCTACAAGAACCCCTAGTTCTTTCAAGTTCTTCCCTTACATTTGCATCCTCTTTTTTGGGCGGGGGGGGGGTACTGGGGATCAAACTTACAACTGCGCGCTTGCAAGACAGGCGCTTATGCCGCTGTGCTAAATCCCCAGCCCCTGTTCTTCTCTTATCTATGCTGTATATAGTCAGTGATTTGTTCCTGTCATCATAAAAATGGAAGCCCTGACCCTGCTGCTCCTCTGAAGGTGATGGCTTCTGTCCTTGAGAGAGCAACAATGACAGTAACAGCTTGTTTAATCCATTTATTCCATGTGGCAGAGGATGCTGTTCCTCCTACCTCTCTACAGATAGACTCCTGGGTCATAACAGAGGAAGTAAGAACTTCTCTGTAGATCCCCAAATGTGTGGTGCTCGCCCACGTCTTCCTGGGCCTGGTGGAGGGTGACTTGGGGATTCCCAGAATGCCCTTAGGAACATGTAGTACACCCCACATCCCCAGCTTCTAGGTCCTGGGGAATAGCTTTTCCTTCAGGTCATGCCATCCTAAGACCTGGGTTGCACAGCCAACAGCTTCTCCTCACACAGGAGCCCCCATGGCATCATCAGGATTTCCAGGCTTGTGATGGGCATGCGAGGCAGGAGGCTTCAGAGCAGCCAGGGCTGAAGAGGGTGCCCAGGGCCTTTCGGAAATTGCTCCTTTGGTTCCTGTCGGGAGTCACCAGCAGACTTCCTTGAGGGTGCCTACATAGTCCTCAGCGAGTGCTGAGAGCAGTGACTGGGTGGTAGAGTGACCTGGGCTATTTCTCGTGGAGAATTCTTGTGATTCTCCAGGGACCCTCTGCTTTTCCTGGGCCGGGGATCACCTTGAACCTCATATGCAGTCCTCAGGAAGAGGACATGGAGACCTCAAACCAGTGACAGAAATGGAAACAGGCCTGGCTTCTTCCCAGAATATTAAATTCTAGATGCCAACGCAAAAACCCACTGCCAGGGTCATCTGCCCAGGAAGCTTCCAGGGGTCTAGAAGATTAAGTTTGGATCAAGGTCAGAGTGAAAAAAGCCCCATAAGTGGTCTGAGCTGCAGAGGGGCTAATGAGACGTAGAGGTTGGGCTCCTTGAACTGTCACCCTGAGCTGTCTAAACAGAGGCCTCAGCATTACATCCTGAAGCTCATATAGATAGTTTCAGCCCTTATACTCAGAACTTACGTTTTTTTTGCACTCAGTTCAAACAAGTTCCATTAGCTAAGCTGAGCATAGCAGTGCATACTGGTAAATCCGGTCCTCCAGGAGGTGGAATAGGAGGATCATAAGTCTGAACCCAGCTTGGGTAACTTAGTGAGACCGTGTCTCAAGTGTGTGTGCTTGGGGATGCAGCTCAGGACTGAGACCCTAGGTTCAATCTCCATTTCCCATAGCTGACTTCTTGGGCAAATTTTGAAATGGATGTGGAGAATTGTTGGACCATAGAAGGGGCAGGGTGAGACTGAGACCTGTGGATTGCAGAAATCAAAAGCCAAGGACAGACATTCCTCCTCCTATGTCTGACAGGTCCCTGAGTGACAGAGGGAGATGGTGTGGCAGGATAGTTTGGGCCTTGGGAGGAGTGGGAAGTGTTATGTGTCTGGATAGGTCTCTTATCCAGAACAGCTTGTTCTTTGCACAGTCTGATAAATGAGGCATTACTGTTCCCAGCCAGTACTCTGCAGTTGGTTTTGTTCCTTCAGCCCAAGCACTGTGTGTTGTTTTGTTAAAATCTGTCTTGCCTTTGTCCCTAGCAGAATCAAAGGCTTCTAGAAGAAAGCCTGAGACTCTTATCCATTGATTCCTCTATTCACTTACAGGTAACCCCAGCCCAGACTCTGATCCCTGTCCCCTCAGGGAAAGTAAATCCTGGGAGATGGGCGGAAACCTTGGGTCTCAAAAGCAGGAGTGACATCATCCAGAGGCAGGGAGGAGTGGGGAAATGGTAGGGAAAGCTGAGGGGTAGCCCGCTGCTTTGAGAGTAGAGCTAGCTTGTGGTAGGTAAAGACATTCGATTGAGCCCTGGCAGGAACCTTGATTTTGAGTTGAGCCATGAAGACTTGTTAGACTTCATCGGTAGTCCATACTGCCTTGGGTACAGTACCAGTGAGTGTGGGATGACTTGAGGGGTGCACTGAAGAAGCACCATAAGTAGGTTTCACTGACTACTCACAGCATTATGAATTAGATACAGTCACCACCATATTGAATCAGGTCAGTGGCAGACTTATCCAGTGGTGGTCCGCTAAGGTAATAATGGAGATGAAAATTCCTATGGCTAGCAACATCATAGCCATTGTAACATGTCACCATGGTGCTGTTATTTTTGTGTCTGTGCCTATGGTGATGCCATTGTAGACAAACCTACTGAGCTGCCTGCTGCATAAAATTATATATAGCACCCAATACTAAATATATTATGATAGTGCCTTTACTATGTATGTATGTATGTATGTATTTATTTATTTATTTATTGAACAGAGTCTCACTGCAGCTCAGACTGGCCTTGAGCTCACTTTGTAGCCCAGGCTGGTCTTGAACTTGTGATGATTCTCCTACCTTAGCCTCCCAAGTGCCCCACCGTGCTCGGCTTATGTTTTTATTTTAAAGTATATTCCTTCTACTTACTTTAAAAAAGAAAGAAAGGAAAAGGTTCTGTTAAACAGAGTGCTATGTTACCCCAGCAGCAACCTCATATATGCATTTCCTGATTGTATCAAGAGGCCATGTCAAGTTACTCATCTGGGTTTGTGTTAAGTGCGCTCTCCTGATGTTTGCACAACAATGAAATTGCCTCATAACACGTCTCAGAATGGAAACCCATTGTTAAGCTATGCATGACTGTATCACTAACCTTTGCATTTTAAAAGATGAATTAACTGAAATTAATTAAAGATGAAATAAGTAGCCCATGGTCACACTAGAAGGAAGGAATAGAGCTGGGGCCTGAATTTGGTTGTGTGCCCACTGGCTTTCCTGGAATCACCATGTAATCCTCAAGGCTCCTCACCCACAAGAACCTATCCTAACTCCATAGAGCTAGGACTCTGCTAGCAAGGCAGAGGCCACCGACTCAAGTCACGTTTCTCTACATGAGGACAAGTCATGACAAGTGGACCCAGTCTCGGTATACCCAATGGACGTTCCAGAAGACTGTCTTCCCCTTTGGGAAGTGTGGCTACCTACTGCTTCCTGTTCTGCTAGACCCTTGTGGCTTGGGAGGGCTTGGGAGAACAAAGAGCAGGGATGATGGAGGATGAAGAGGCAGCATACTGCTCTGCGTGTGTGAACTGTACACACTCCTAGTGAGGGGTATAGGCATGCTTGGGTTCCCATAGAATTCAGTGGGAGTTGTGAGGGGCATTCAGGGTTGTGACAGGCTAGGCCAGGGGACTTCTGATGATATGAATATAACCATGTGTGTATATGGGACGTGTGAGTGGACCTCCTTCTAGGTAATGGAATGGGTCTGGCCAGTACTGTGGCGCTGGGTGTGTGTCAGCGTTGCCTAAATGTGGTGAGTGTCCTCAGAGCCAGGCCTGCCTGTGCTGGCCACACCCTTGGCATCAGACCAGGCCCTCCCCAGGGTGGGGTCAGGACCATGGGCAGGCCTGTCTAGGACAGGTGTCTCCAGTTCCTGGAATGGCTTTGCTTCCTTGTCCATTCCCTTCCCTAGACCTACCAGCTGGGCACCTGGATGGAAATGGGAGGAGACCATGCCTCAGGGCAGTACTCCTAGGCCAGCCAGAGGGCCTAAGGAACAGAAAGTAACAGTGTGAGCCTTGTGAGCATGTCTGAAGAGTGATGTGAAGTGAGCTAGTCACGCCAGGCTGAGTGCTAAGTCAGTGAGCATACCCCCACGGAGCCAGCAGAATGGCAGAACCTGTCTGTCCAGCTGTTTCGTCCTCAGCAGGGGGTTATGAGCAACTTAGTAGCAGCAAGAAGGCACAAGTGGTTAGGAGCGTTTTCTCCCTATACCTCTGCTGTGCCTGTACTTGCCCCATTGGTCATTTGCCGTCCCTAGCAAGTTTGTTGAACATGAAGCCCCAGTGCACTGGACACTATGCCTTGGCATGGCAAGGGCTGGCCCTCAGATGGAGCCCAGCCCCTGCAACTCACCTGAGGAAACTGAGGCCTGCAAAAAGGAAGAATTTGGTTCTAGACTTTACCACAGAAATGAGCCCAGGGGCCCATTAAATGACCCTCCCCAAGTCAGGGGAGTATGGGTCCTGGTCTCACCCAAGCTGTTTTTCCCCTGCAGGTAATCGAAGAGTTCTACAACCAGACCTGGATCCACCGTTACGGGGAGCCCATCTTGCCTACCACACTCACCACACTCTGGTCCCTCTCAGTGGCTATCTTCTCTGTTGGAGGAATGATTGGGTCCTTCTCTGTGGGCCTGTTTGTTAATCGCTTTGGCCGGTGAGCAGGAGGGACCCTGGGCTTGCCCATGGGGGCGTCCTAATCCAGAATTGGATGGGGGAAGGGAGACTTCTCTGCCATTGTAGGGTATCACCTATAGCCCAGCCTCTGAAAACTTGGGACTAGGGACCCTCCTGACCTGTAACCCCCTCCCCAGGCGGAACTCTATGCTGATGATGAACCTCCTTGCCTTCCTGTCTGCTGTGCTCATGGGCTTCTCGAAACTGGGCAAGTCCTTTGAGATGTTGATCTTGGGCCGCTTCATCATTGGCGTATACTGCGGCCTGACCACGGGCTTTGTGCCCATGTATGTTGGGGAGGTGTCACCCACAGCTCTTCGTGGGGCTCTGGGCACCCTGCACCAGCTGGGCATCGTTGTTGGCATCCTTGTTGCCCAGGTAAGCCAGGGATGGGTCTGCCTGCCCAACAGGGTGGAGCTTATCTAATTAGACTTCCACTCAGCCATCCAAAGCCCCGCAGAGGACAGCCTGGGGGTGTCCAGGTCCCAGGGAACACGTAGCCACTTGTAGATCTCCCACTGGTCTCCTCAGCCAGACAGAAAGATTATTTGATCCTTCTTATCCCCTTCTCGCTCTGGGCCTCCAACCACAGTTCCCATAACATGCTGCACTCGTTCACACCTCGAGGCCTACAAGCCTTCACGCACGCTACCTTTCTGCAGAAGGCTTCTCCAACCCTATCCCTCCAATCCTCCTATGGCTGAGTAGCCAACCACACATACTCTGTGCCAACACAGGTAGGCTCTTCATCCTCCCAGTAGTCTGGGAGTTGGGTCCTACTTTCCCATTACAGGTGAGGAAAGAGGTTGAAAGAGCTCAAGCCTCATATTAGTGGCAGAACCACTGCAACTAGAGCTCTTCCCGAAGCAGAGAAGGTGGGAGTGGAGTGGATGCAGAGCACTCACAGCCCGCTTCCCCTCAGGTGTTCGGCCTGGACTCCATCATGGGCAATGAGGAGCTGTGGCCCCTGCTGCTCAGTGTCATCTTCGCCCCAGCCCTGCTGCAGTGTGTACTGCTGCCCTTCTGCCCTGAGAGCCCCCGCTTCCTGCTCATCAACCGCAATGAGGAAAACCGGGCCAAGAGTGGTACGGGCCGGGCCCTGCCCTCCTCCCCACCCCCTAAGCCCTGGTCTTCCCGCTCTGAGCCATCCCACCTTCCCTCCAGTGCTGAAGAAGCTGCGTGGAACAGCTGATGTGAGCCAAGACCTACAGGAGATGAAGGAGGAGAGTCGGCAGATGATGCGGGAGAAGAAGGTCACCATCCTGGAGCTGTTCCGTTCCCCCGCCTACCGCCAGCCCATCCTCATTGCTGTGGTGCTGCAGCTGTCCCAGCAGCTGTCAGGCATCAATGCTGTAAGTGCCCCTCCCACCCTTCCTGTGAGCCCAGCCAAGCCCCAGCTCAAGTGTGTGCTGTGAACAAGTCCCAAGCCAAACAAGCCTCTGCCAGGAGAAGCTTTCTTTTTAGAGTCAAATCCCCTAAGGTCACTGTGCAGTGTCCATCTGCCTCAAAGTATTTGTCCCATCTGTCTTAACTTAACCCTGTATCCCACATCCATTGATAGAGGCAGGGGAGGGCCAGAGAGCCCAGCTGACCCCAGCACTCTCTGTCTGGCAGGTGTTCTATTACTCCACAAGCATCTTCGAGAAGGCAGGAGTACAGCAGCCTGTCTATGCCACCATTGGCTCAGGCATCGTCAACACAGCCTTTACCGTTGTGTCGGTGAGTCTTTTGCTTGTTGTGGGTGAGCAGCCAGAGCCCAGCTTTCTTGGCTACTGAGGCTAGCCTGTGGGTGGATGGGCTTTGAGAGGGTGACTTGACTCTGTCCTTGCCCACAGCTGTTCGTGGTGGAGAGAGCTGGCCGACGGACCCTGCACCTCATAGGCCTGGGTGGTATGGCAGGCTGTGCTGTGCTCATGACCATTGCACTGGCACTGCTGGTGAGTGGCTACACTTTAGAGGGCCCCAGGTGTGAGGGGTGGTCTATTGGGCTCTATTGGGCTTAGAGTCTAAAGTGCCTAGCAGACTAGGCAAGGGCTGAGCTCTTCCTGCTTCTGCCCATCTTGCCCTGAAGTCTGACCTTCTGGCTCCTGGGGTTGCCTCCTTTCAATACACTCATTGCTGTCTTGAGTATGTTCCCCCCCATCATGAATATGTCATTTCTCAACAAAGCACCACTGCCCTTCGACCCCAAGCTGTCATCTCCCCAGGACACATCCTTACCCAGTATCAAACTTTGCAAAGCCTTTAACTGAAAGTTCAATTCATCTTCACACCAACCCTAGAAGGTATTACTACAAGGGTACAGAAACACAGAAAGTCTGATTGCTAATGGAGTGAGCATTCCAAGATCTGAACCAAAGTCCTTTTCCATGGTGACCTCTTAAAGGAGAACAATTATATATGGAATCACAGTGCCTACTCCCTGCCAGCCTGATCTGGGTACCTTATAAAGTACCCCAGTCCCCAAAATGTTCTCTTGCTACAATTTTCAGCCAGAGCCAGGGCACCTAAGGGGCCTTTTTAGCACTCCCACGCTGCCACTCCCTACCCAGACGGTGGGCTCAGACTTGGAAACACCCAGGAGGACACAAACTTTTTGTTCAGATGAGGAAATTTGAGGACCTACACAGATACCTATGCCACATGGCAAATTGAGGATTAGTTCTAGGCCTCTTGTCTTCCACCCCCAAGCAGCAGCTTCTGTAATTTCTGTTTTCTTTGAAGAGACATCACAACACAGTCTTAACTCCTTCCCCCATCTTTCTCAACAGGAGCAGCTGTCCTGGATGTCCTATCTGAGCATTGTGGCCATTTTTGGCTTTGTGGCCTTCTTCGAAGTGGGCCCGGGCCCCATCCCGTGGTTCATTGTAGCTGAACTTTTCAGCCAGGGTCCACGCCCCGCTGCTTTCGCCGTCTCTGGTTTCTCCAACTGGACCTCAAATTTCATTGTGGGCATGTGCTTCCAGTATGTGGAGGTGAGAAGCTTCATTAACTCTGTCCTTATGTTTCTGGCCTGCATGTCGTGACCTCCAAATGTCACACTGCACAGAGTACTCTCCAAGGAACTTGTTAGCAATCATGCTGAGAAAGAAACAGACTCAGAGCTCAAGTCACCTGGCTAAGAACATGGACCTCAGCTTAGGAGTTTTTAACTTGGGATGAGGTTTCTGGAGCTGTAACAGCCCAGATGCATTTAATCATCATAGTATCCCTGGGTGGTATTCCCTTTTTCAGATCAAAGACCCAGAAATAAAGTGATCTATTCATATTACTGAGCTGGTATAAGAGTCATAACGTAAACTATTTGTCTGTTTTCCAGCAACTGTGTGGTCCCTATGTCTTCATCATCTTCACTGTGCTCCTGATTCTGTTCTTCATCTTCACCTACTTCAAAGTTCCTGAGACAAAAGGCCGGACCTTCGATGAGATTGCTTCTGGCTTCCGGCAGGGGGGAGCCAACCCAAGTGACAAGACACCTGAGGAGTTGTTCCGCCCTTTGGGAGCTGATTCCCAAGTGTGAGGTGCCCCACATCACCAACCCGGCCTGCTCCCAGCAGCCCCAAGGATATTTCTGGAGCACGGGCAGCTGGATGAGACTTCTAAACTGACAGATCTCAGCTGAGCCAGGCCTGGGTCTGCTTTCTTCAGCCAGCAATGATGTCCAGAAGAATATTCAGGACTGTAATGGCTCCAGAATTTTAACAAAAGCAAGACTGTTGCTCAAATCTATTCGGACAAGCAACAGGTTTTATAATTTTTTTATTACTGATTTTGTTATTTTTTTATCAGCCAGACTCTCCTGTCCCCTTACCCCAGGCTTCACCCTGAGTGGCTCAGTGCCTGAGGGTGGGACCAGGCCCTGTGCAGACACTCGCCTTCTTCACCAAGCTAATCTTAGGACTGGACCTATGACCAAGGACACACTAATCGAACTATGAACTGCAGGCTTCTACTCTAGGAGATGGCCATGGCCACCACTTTGCAGGCCTGGATCTTTCCACTCTAGAGGTTGGGCTTCATTTTAGGATTTGCCCATTCCCATCTCTTCCTTCCCAACCACTCAAATTAATCTTTCCTTACCTGAGACCAGTTGGGAGCACAGAAGTGCAGGGAGGAGAGGGAAGGGCTGCCAGGTTCTAGTCTCCTGTGCACTGAGGGCCAGACGATCTCCACGAGAAAAGGCTTTGGGGAGGCTAACTTACTGCTGAAGAAGACATGGACACTTCTGCCCTGCTGTGTATAGATGGAAGATATTTATATATATTTTTTGGTTGTCAATATTTACAGGCACTAAGTTATAGTATATCTGGACAAACCAACTTGTAAATACACCACCACACTCCTTCTGTAACTTACCTAAAGAGATATAAATGGCTGGTTTTTAGAAACATGGTTTTGAAATGCTTGTGGATAGAAGGTAGGGAGGTTTGGGTGGGCATGGGGAAGAACCAAGCAGAATTGTGACTACTGCCGTGACTTCTGGCTCAGGATACCATCCCTTGCTAGCACCTATACCCTTTGTTGTTAAAAAATTTTTATTACCCAGAGAAAATTCAAATTCTTAATCTTGATATTCACGTTATTTCCATCATATTTAATAGTGTTAAAAAACAATAGCTATTTGCTGACTGTGATGTTTCAGTTTAATAGGCATTATCTCCGATGTGAAGTACTACATCTCCTTTTGGCTTCTTTATAAGCCCTTGTCTACAACCCATCCCTCAACAAAATTAATCACATTTTTATGAGCCTTCCAGTTGGTGGCTGCACCTTGTCCTCAGATCTACACTGGGGTGGTTTGCACCCCTTATAGAAAAGGGATCAGAGAACTGAAGTGTAGCCTCCTGGAGTCTTCTAGGCAACAGCTAGGGGCAGTGGGCTGACTAGGCTCCCTACACCTGTGGGTCACCTTGCTTTTGAAAAATGGCTTTGTGAGGCATGGGTGCTGACCAAGGGCAGAAAGGAACTGGGAACTGTCAAACTGCCTTAATCTTTTGGAATTGCTCCAAATTGCTTCCATCTAAACGTTTCTGCCGAGCTTCCTCCTGCATCCCCTAATTTTAAGACCCCTTCATCTCTCCTATTCTTGTATTTGCACCCTTCCACCTTTATCACAAGTCCAAATTTCTCCTGTCTGAATTTTAACCTGCAGGAACCAATTTGGTTTGTCTGGGTTCTCAGAACTACTCAATGCAGTGTGCTGAGCTGTAGTTAAAAGGAAGAACCAAGAACTGTGACTAGCTTGAGCTGGCAAAATCGAATTTGCCTTCTAAACCACACATAGGCAAAACTAAAATTTCCTTGGCTTGAAGGAGTTTTAAGGCGGAAGTAAGGAGGGAAAACGGGTATTTAGTAAATAGAAAGTTGTCTGTGTCACGACTAGGTACTGCACTGGAAATGTGAGGTGTCGTCTTCACCTCACATATGAACGGGTTGAGAGGATCTGCCTTATTTGATTTTGGGGCAAGATAACTGACCGTGTCGGGCTGAGCCAGGTGTGGGAAACCTGCGTTCCCAAATCCTGTTGGAAGTTCTGCCACTAAGTTTCCCAGACTTGGGCCCCAGAACGGGAGGAGGAAAGTCAGGCGCGCGCTTAAAACTCAATCCTTTGGCGCTGTGGAGTGGTTCTTAAAGAGAGAAGACCTGGGATAAGGCTGTGGGGCGTGCGAGAAGCGTGCATCAGAGGCAGGAAGCGGCCTGCCAGGCATCCCGCGCTCTGGCCCAGGGGACTTGATCTTGGTCTGCACACATCAGAGAGCCCACTTACCAGTTCCCTCCGACCCTGTGTCGGTACCCACGCCCCAGGCCGCGGCATTGCACAAAAGCGAGGAGACCTGTAGGCGCACGGAGCCCCGTGAGCGCCCAGCTTCCGGTCCTCGACCCTTTTCCTCTAAGGGGTGCAGCTCGCCCAAGTGTAAAATTTTTGAGGGCAAGGCGCTGCCGCTCACGCCTGGGCAAACGCCTATCCCGCGGCCCACCCCTTTCACCGGCGGGCTCGCTCCGGGTGGGCCGAAGGCTCAAGTGTCCCATAGTCTATCTTCCTCCGCTCAGAGGAGGCGGGGCCAGGCGCCGTCTCCACCAATCAGCCGCTGTGGGACGAGCGCGCAGGCGTCGGCCGCTGGAGACCCGCAGAGCGCATCAGCCCGCCCTTTTGGGGGGCTGGGGAGGGGAAACCTGCCTATTGGCCGAGGTCCTGAGGCTTGCAGTTCTCTCAGGTACCTGTCCCCGATCGGGCGACTTCTGACGTTTCCAACAACTGCTCCTCTTTGCCTCGGCCACCATTGTCCAGTCTTGTTTAATCCTTCATTCGAAATCTTAGGCTCCGGACGCCTGAAGTCCTTCTGAACTCCACTCGTCCTGTATTTCCTCCAACAAAACGAGTTCCACAAAGTAGCTGATTTGGCCTGCCTTCCACTACAGTAGGAAAGAACAAGGACTAGATCAGTCCTTGGTCCCCAGTTTCTACCACAGAATGTGGTCAGCATTATGAAATGATTGGACTAGAATTTAGAACCAAAGAACTTAGAAATAGGTCTGGCAGAAAACCCAATTCAAAAAAAAAAAGTGTATTTACTAACAGGGAAAGGAATATTCTCTCTTGTCAAAACGGCATTTTCATGACTGGCCCTCGTTGCAATTACTCACCGTAGTATGACTCACACATCGTCTCCTAGGATCACTGCAACAGTCTTACTCCGCTTTCCTTCCTCTTTGCCCTCAACGCAAATTTAATCATGTCTCTCTCCTGCTTCTAAACCCTCCCTGGGTTCCCATTTCCCTCAAGATGCTATTCATCTTCTAATGCCTGAAAATTCAAGCCCTTTCACGATCTCCATCTCATTGCTGTCTCCATTGCACCTCGCCTACATCCTGCAGCCATGGAGCCAGTCTGCTCTCTGATGTCACATTCTCTTTCTCCTCTGGTCCTTTGGAGGTGCCCTCCTCACCACTTGCATTCCTGTTTTCCACCAGGTGATTCAGTATACCAGGTCAAAGTCAAAAAGTGATTGGGGAAAGTGCCAGTTGTGGTGCTTGGCTTATCCGTTGGCACACTGCTACCAACTAGTGGCTGTTGGGTGAACATTTGCGTCAGGGTGGTTTTAACCTCATCCTCCAAGATTGAGGGAATAGTTTAACTTCATCCTCCTAGATTGAGAGAATAGTTGGCTATCTATCCCTTGATTGGGTTACTACAATATTCGTTTGGTCACTCTGCCCATGACACCCCAAGTTACCTAGGTAAAGCAGTGTTCTGGTTCCATTGCTCTATGCTTAATACTCCATGATAAACCCCAATTCTTTATCCACATTCTGACTCTTACAGACTATGTCTCCCAATATGCTCCTTCAACACCCTAAGCTTCAGCCAAGACAACTATTCAGTATTCATAAACAAGACCTCTAATTCACTGTCTTACCCTAAAATATTTTTTGTCCTTTCTCCTGGTCTACCTTTGTTCTGTCTCTAAGGTTGTCTGGTCTTAAGATACCAACTTAACATGCCACTTTCTCTATGAAATGTGCTCATTCCTTGAACTGTCATTGACTTTTTCAGGCATTCTGTTTTATGTAGTGTCTTGGAAGTAATGTGGTTACTACAGTCAGAAAAATGCTGACTCTGATTTTTAAAAATAGCTTATTTCAGATTCCTGCTCTGCTACTGAGCTCAAAAATCTGGGGCAAGTCATTTTACTTTTCTGATCTTCAGTCTCCTCATCTTTTGTAATATTAAAGGTTAAGTGGAATACAGGTATCAGTGGGAATTACACAGTCTTCCTTCCACATGGTTCGGAAAGTCAAGATTCATTCCTAGATGATGGAATCTCTTCCATTCTCATAGTCTCTCTCTCTGTCTCTCATTCTCCACCCCACCCCCAGCTTTCCCCTGAGCTACACACACACACACATTTTATTTTATTCAAGACAGTGTCTTGCTAGATTGCCAAGGTTGGCCCCTAAGTTGTGTTCCACCTACCTTAGCCTCCAATACTACTGGAAGTATAAGTGTGCTCTGCCACACTGGTCATCTCTGACTCTGAGTGTTGGCATTCTATACCGCCTTGTGCAAGGTTCTCAGTGCAAGCTATTTCCGATCATGAAACTCATTTCTAGTTTCACTTAATTATTTACTGACTGCCTCCCAGGTGCTAAGGATAAGGCAGTAAGAGAAAAAAGATTTATAGTCATGGAGCTTACATTGTGAATGCAGTAAGCAACCAACTAATGTATAATAAAGTGTCAGTAGTTTGTATTATGGGAAAAAAAAAGAAACCAAACCAAGGATGAAGAGGATGAATTGTGAGGATTGCATGGGGATGGAGGTTTTAGATAATTTGTACAAAGACCAGAAGGAAATGAAAGAACAAATCAACACATATTTAAGAGGAAAACCTTTTAAGCAACTTCAAAGGTGCTAAGGCAGAACCGTATTTAGTGTATTGTAAGAATTAGCAAGGAAGCCCACACCTGGACCAATTATACATGAAATTGGGAAGGTGGTGGGATGCCAAGTACATAGGACTTCATGGATCACATGGAACTTCTGGTTTTATTTCAATGTTGATAAGCCACTGGAGAACATTGGTCAGAGAAATGACAACCTGATTTACATTTTTAAAGGATCATGTGTCTGCTATAAGCTGAAGGAGAGTGTCAAGGGTTAGGGTCTAGATGTCCCTTCAAAGCTCCACATGCTGTTGGATGTGGAGCTGTTGGGAGGTGTTTAGACCAGGGAGGTAGTCTTTGATAGAATAATCCTCTGATGAATTTTTGGCTAAATATGCTATTAGCAGGTAGAATCCAGTCACAAGAAGTGGGTCACTGGAGGCATGACTCAGAAGGATGCATCTCCCCTCCGTATCTTCCCTTTGCACTCTGCTTCCTGGCCACCATGATGTAAGCAACTTTCTTCCATGACACCACTTCCACGATGCTTTTTACTGTGTTTGAGCCTCTAAACATGGACTGAAACTCAAACGCGTGAGCCAAAAGAAACTCTCCTCCTTTAAGTCAGGTATTGTGTCAGCAAAGAAGAAAGTAAGACAGGAGCAAAAGCAGAAATAGGAGCACCAGTCAGGAGGTAGTTGCTGTGGTCAGGTGAGAGGTGATGATGTCTTGGATGTAGAAGCAGCAAGTAGAGGTGATCAACACGGAGATGCATCTTGAAGTTTCAGCCAACACAACTTGCTGATGAGATTGACTGTGAGGTTTGGAAAAAAGAATAAAAGATAGCTGGATTCACTGGTGTTAACTGAGAGTGAACTACTGATGAAGTTAGAATCATCTGGTTTTGGATGTACTGAGTTGGAGGCCCAACAGATGTTCTAGTAAAGACATGGAGTAGGCATTTGGATATGCTAATCCGAGGTTTGTGTAAATTGTTATGGAACATTTGGGGAAAGAGGTATTTAAATCACAGCAACATAGCCTAAAATTGAATTTTAGACATCAGTGTTTCTTGGCGTCCTCCAGGCTCAAACTTTAGGCCTGAATGCAAACCGGTTTGTCCTTCTCCCCACCTCACTATGAAAGTCTGTGACTAATGCTCTGAAGTGACACCTGGTCAGTTAAAACCATATCCATTTAAATTACTGGGCTGCTCTTCACCCCATGTTCATCAGGAGTCATGGTTATTTCCTTAACAAGATTGTCAGTGTCTCACAAAAGTTAGCCTACACATTTGCATTAAGCAGTTGGGAAGGAGAAAGTGTGAGGTTATTTATCACGTGATAGTGGTTTTCTTTCCTTTTTATATTCACTGTGTTTGTTCCATTTTTCTCCTAATGGACTGACCTCCAGTGCCTCATAAACAAAGAACTTGATTTTGATTTAAGGTTCAAGTGAAGAATACTGTTGACTGCAACTTAGGATATCACTGTTCCATTTTTCTTTACTTCTCACTTTTTTATATTACTTATACCTTTCTCCTAGAATAGTTACCTTCAAACTTTCTTGTTCATGGACTTCTTAAAGGAATTTTGGAGAACTGTACTGCTTAGCCATTGACATTAAATTTTTTGTCTAAAATATTTGCAAGAGATTTGAATTTTTATATATATTATCATTTAAAAATAACTTCTTCATGTGTAGGATTGATAACCGTATTACTAACTTTTTGTTGGATCATTGAACAGAACTGTTTGCAGTCTCGCTGTTTGAATGTCTACTTCGTATGCTTTACTTTTGTAACTTGAACAACTATTGCTAAGAGGACAATATGTACTTTATCAACTAGTTATTCCTGTTTATTGTTTTTGAAATTATGTATTGTTTCTACCCTTTTTCTGTTTTTTTCTCTTTAAATAAAATTTTTTTAAAAATAACTTCTTCAAAATATATGCAGCAGCATACAAAAATGATATGATGTGCATATCCAGAAGCTATGAGTTGAGAAGATATGAGATGCTTTGTTAGATTTACATCTATTTTAGTTTTCAGGATATTGATATAAATGATAATGTGTTTTCATTTCAGTTTCCCTTCGTTCATTATTAGGAATATAGTTTGGATGTTGAATGACACCCAAAGGTCTGTGTGTTAAAAGTTTGGCCTTGAAAGAGGTGTTATTATTGGAAGACAGGAGATCCTTTGAGAGGTGGGGTTTAGTAGGGAATCCTTAAATTATTGGTACCCAAACGGGAATTATGGGACCGAGGCCACTTTTTTTTTCTTTTTTGCTCTGTGGCTCATATGTAAGTGGGTTTGCTCCAAAATGCACTCCCTGCCATTGCAATCTGTCAGCACCCCTGTCAGAGGCCCAAAGTAATGGGCCACCCAATCTGGGACTAGAACTTCTAAAACTGTGAGCCAAAATAACCCTTTTCTTTTATAAGTTAAGTAAAGCTTGCTAACACATCTACTATACAGAAAAGTGCTTGCCTTTTGTATATTAATCTTACACCTCTAGCCTTACTTATTGACTAGTTCCAAATGTTTTTGGTGGTGGTGGTGGTGGTGGTGTTATTGATACTTTTGAGATTTTCTGCAGAACCAAGTTTGTCATCTGCAAACAAAGATACTTTTATTTCTTTCTTTTTAATCTCACCACTTTTTATTGGATAAGCTAGGACATTTAGAACAATGTTAAAAAGGATTGTGAGAGAGGACATGCCTGTTCCTGATTTTAGCAACAAAGTTCCAAACTTTTGCAGTTGAGTATAATAATTATAAGGTTTTCATACGTTCTTTATGAAGTTGGGGACACTTCCCCCTAATGTAAATTTACTGAGAGCTTTTGTCATGCATGGATGTTGAATTTTGTGAAATACACTTTCTGGATTCATTGATATGGGGGTATGATTACTCTTTTTTTAGCCTGCTAATATGATGGATTGAATTAATTGATTTCTAAGCATGACTAGGGATAGGGAGAAGGGAAGGGGATGAAAAAAGAATGTGTTATGTACATGTACCAATTTACTACCACCAATGTAATCATTATGTACTGAAAACATGTACTAATAAAAAACTCTTAAAAATAAATGTTGAAATAGCCTCACATACCTAGGATAAACCCCACTTGTTCACGGTATATAATTCTTTTTATGCCTATCTGGGTTCAGTTTGCTATTATTTTGTTGAGGATTTTGTATCTTTGCACCTATTTCTTTTCCTGTCTTCATATTGACTCTACCTCGTGGATTGATCCATATCTTCTGGGCTACTTATCATCCTGTTTGGTTTGGGTTATTGTAGTTTCCCATTAACCTTAATAGGATTTGTTAATGCTAAGAGATGACCTAAGGCATCTCCTTCATTCCAGATATATTTTGCCTTGTCTCCTTTGGGGAGTAATATTCCAATTTCCCCTTGATAGTCTGGTTCAAACACTTCTACCAATACAGTAACTCCCTTTTTAACTTGTTTACTCAGGCATGAGGAACCCAAAATGACCAGGGGGAAGTATTAGCTTCCAGTTCAATAGAATCATTGTTATATTTCCTGGAATAAGCCTTTACCCATCTGAAACTAAGACTTCTAGACCAGCAGAACAGAAGGTCACAGGAACAGGAAGCAAAAATATTGTTAGTTGATCCCTAGGAGTAATGGCGAATAATACCCTTCTCACTTCCACCCCTTGATTCCTGGGCCCATGAATTCTGGCTATCAGAGAAAGAGTACCATATATTTGATGCTGATTCAAAGCATATACAGCCTTCTGATGAAGGCTCTAGCCGTACAAAGTATTGCCACCCAGTTGGCACTGCAATTGCATCTTCAAAGGCCTTTCCACAGTTCTGCCAATCCAGCTGTTTCTGGATGGTGGGAAACATGATAAAAATCAGTGGCTTCTATGAGCATGAGCCCACCACCACACTCTTGGCTGTAAAGTGTGTTCCTTTGTCAGAAGCAATGCTATGTGGAAGACTATGAAGGTAGATGAGGTATTCTGTATGTCTATAGATGATAGTTTTGGCAGAAACATGTACAGAGAAGGCAAATACATATCCAGAATAAGTGCCTACACTAGTAAGTACAAAGAGCTGTGCTTTCCATGATGTAAGCAGGCCAGTAAAATCAATCTGCCACCAGATCACAGCCTGATCATTTTGGGCAACGGTGCCATACTGAGTGCTTGGAGTTGGTCTGTGCAGCTGGCAGATTTGCCATTCAGGAGTGGCTGCAGCCAGGTCAGTCATGGTGAGTGGAAGTTCATGTTGCTGAGCCCATATATAACCTCCACCTCTGCAATGATGGCCACTTTGTTCATTAACTCATTGGGCAACTACAGGGTAGCTGATGAAAAAGATTTATCACTATCCACAGAATGGATAATTTTACTCACTTGATTATTAGTCTCTTTTATGGTCTTCTTTCAATGAGCATTTACATGGGACATATATATATTTTCACACCCTTTCACCCATATAGTGAGATTTACCCACAAAACTCTTCCCCAAATTCTTTGTCATCACTTTTCTAGTCATGCTCCCTTCAAGTTTCTAACCATCCACCCAAACCACTTGTTATTGCCCATCAATCATCATAGAGCCTCACATCTGGATGCTTTTTCTGCCAAACAAAATACATGATCAGGTGCACTGCCCAAAGTCCTGCCCACTGTGAAGATTTCCCTTCACCACTGTCCTTCAGGGATGTCCCAGAAAGGTGCTATTGTGCTGCAGTTGTCTACCTTTGGATGGTGACCATTTGTAAACAAGGACCTAGTCTTCTATTCTTCTGTCACCATAGTATAGGGTAAACCCCAAGGCCATAGATGCATGCTGGAGGACAAAATGCAGTATAGCAGAAGTAAGAATCATGGGCATTTGGGCCACTTCTTCATGTAACTTACTCATACCTTCTGGACCTGCTCAGGCCCAGTCATGTATATACCACTTCCATTTAATGATGGACTGTTGCTATGCGCATCCAACTTTATGACTTGGTGGGCCACATGGCACCTAGTTTGTGATGGGAAGCTAAGGTCACATGCTAAACTAATGTCCCATGGCCAAACACTCAGTTTCCACTATGGCTCAGTAGCAGGCCAGGAACTATTTCTTACAGGGAGAAAGTTGTCTCCAGCTGATGGTACAACCTTGCTCCAAAATCCTAAGGGCCTCTGCTGTGATTCATCTCTAGGGGCCTGGTAGAGACTTCAAACAGCATTCCTATCTGCCCCTGACACCTCAAGTTCCATTGGATCTGCTGGATCATATAGCCCAAATGGAAAAGCAGCCTGCACAGCAGCCTAGATCACTTGCAGAGCCTTCTTTTGTTCTGAGTACCCCTAAACTAGCAGCTTTATAAGTGACTCAGTAAAGGGATCAGAGCAACACACCCAAGTGAGGAATGTGTTGTTTCAAAAACCCAAATGGATCCACAAGGCACTGTGCCTCCTTTTTGGTTGTAGGAGGTGCCAGATGCAATAACTTATCCTTCACCTTCTAAGGGGTATCTCTACATCCCTCCCACACCACTAGATTCCCCGAAATTTCACTGAGGTAAAGCCACCAAATACTTTACCAACAATTCCAGAGTGGTTACTACCTTTTGCTCACTTGGCCCAATCAGCATAATGTCATCAATGTAACAGGCCAGTGTGATACCTTGTAAAAGAGAAAAATTATCTGTTGTGACACATTCCTGAAGTGGAACAGTAAGTTAAGGTGTATCACTGACCTTGCCACCTGAAAGCAAATTTCTTCTGGTGGGCCTTATGGGTAAGTGTGGAGAAAAAAATTGCCAAATCAATAGCTGCATTCCAAAAACCAGGTTATGTATTAATCTGCCCAAGCAAAGAAACCACCTCTGGCATAGGAGCTGCAGTTAAGGTCAACAGTTGATTAAACTTGTGATACTCCAGCGTCATTCCCCAAGACCCATCCATTTTCTGCACAGCCCAAATAGGAGAGTTAAATGGGGATGTGATGGGAACCACCTCCCTGCAGCTTTCAGATCTTTGATGGGGGCTCTCATCTCTGCAATCCCTCCAGAGAAGACTTCTTATAGTTATTGTTTTTGTTTGTTTTATTATAGAGAAAAGTAAAACAAAATTTCATAATAAAATGGTAGGAGAATAACAATAGTTGATACATTGAATATCGTTATTTTTGAAGTAGTTAATCAGAGTACTAGATATGGGCTTTAAAAATACCCAAATGATGATGTAAGCACAAATCTTTCTTTTCAATGAACTAAGAGAAGCTAGTAGTATAACTATTTTGTGTTTTATTTTTTCCTTTCCTTCCTTTCCTTCCTTTCCCCTTCCCCCACCCTAGTTCCTTTTTCTTTTTGAATAATTTATTGCCATTTCATAATATCTGTTGTGCATTTTGGACTTTATTTACCCTTTCAGTTCCTACACCAGGGAGACAATATGATGCTTACACACGTGAGTCTGATTTATTTCACCAATGAGTATATTCTCCAATTGCATCTATTCACCTATAAAAGTCTCAAGTTTATCCTTATTTATGGTTAATGTTCCATTGTGTAAAAAGACCACATCTTTTTTATCCTCTCCTCAGTTGATGGGCATTTGGGTTGTTTCCAAGATTTCGCTAATACACATTGTGCTGCTGTAAACATGCATACATATAAATTGGAATGTGGTAAAACACTGTGGTATGTGTTTTATTTTATTTTGTTTTATTTTTGGTACCATTTTCCCAATTTTATTTTGTTTTATTTTTGGTACCATTTTTTATTTTATTTTGTTTTATTTTTGGTATCAAACTCACAAACCATGCTTGCTAGGCAGGTGATCGTGCTGATGAGCAAAGTCCCCAGCTATATGTTTTGTTTTTTGAGACAGGGTCTTGCTATGTGGTTCAGGCTCACCTTGAACTCAACTATGTGGTCCAGCTGGCTTTGAACT